TATAAATTATATAAATTAAATTTATTTAACAAAGTATAAATTATGAGATTATTACAATAGCTTTATCATTAGCTATTCATACATGACTAAAGTTAAAGTGTTGTAACTTTATAAAGAAATCCATTATCATCAACAGTAGCAACAACCCCAGCTATGCTAGGGAGCAGTGGTTTCATGCAGATATCACTTAAAATTTAATGAAATATGCAGAAAGGATCCAAATTGTAACTTCCCTCCTTTAGCCATGACATATGTATGAAATGCTTTGTGGCTCCACTTCTGTTTCTCTGATTTGCACATATTTACACTTCCCTAGATTCTCAGAAGTATTGTTTCCATCACTAGAAAAAACAAATTGGACTTCTGGTGTGATGCTGTAGGATTAGCACTGGACTGTGAACCACAAGGTTGACATTTCAAACCTACCAACTGCTCCTTGGGTCTCTAAAAGTCAGAACTGACTCGACAGCACATAGTAACAATAACAACAACAGTAAAAACAAAACCAAACAAAAAGAGATTATTATCCTGATGGAATTTTCTGTTTCTTAATTGTTTATCCTTTCAGTGTTTTCCATCCATTAACTATAATGATGCCAAATGTTCATCAGAGATGAACAGCAAAGAGGGATAGGTTTCATCTCAACCTCAAGGAAAGGTTTTGGGGAAAGATAAATTAGTTGTGGGGCCAGGTCATGGTTTTCCGTAGCCTCTACCTTAAACGATTGAGTTGTGATTGAGAACATCAATGACTCTTTTCCCTTTTTTTTAAACAAGAACATTTCAGTCTTTCCTCTTTGGAGCTGCAGTGATAATTAAAGATAAAGCCACCGCCTATGAGTAGATTCTAACTCATAATGACCCTATGTTGTTGTCGTTGTTAAGTGCTGCTGAGTGGGTTCTGACTCATAGCCACACTTTGTAGGGTTTCCAGGGAGCAGCTGGTGGGTTTCATATGTTGACCTTGTGGTTCTCAGTCCAACGCTGATCCTAAAGCACCACACCAGGAGCCCATAGACAGAGGAAAACTGCTCCATAGGCTTCTGAGTTTGTAAATATTTAACAGATAGCCTCATCTTCTTCCCCATGGAGCAGCTAGTGAGTTTGAACCACAGACATTGCAGTTAGCAGTCCAACACTTAACCCATTGTGCCACCAGTGCTCCATGAAGTGATACGAAAAATCTATAAATGTATTTTAAACTTGAGAAACAAAATTAATTACTGTTTCCTCCCTCACCCACCTCTTTTATTTCCAGAACTGTTACTAAACTGAGTCAAAAGTTTACCAAGGCAAATTTTACGGAAATTCAGAAGCTGGTTCTGGATGTGGCCCACACACATAAGGAATGTTGCAGAGGAAATGTGCTGGAGTGTCTGCATGATGGGGTGAAGTATCTGGCTTTCTAAATATGACATATTTCCTCTCCTTGCCATTTCCTTGACGTTTCTTTCTTTTTCTCTTATCTGAAATGTTGCCTGACTAGTTAACCACAGAGACGGTTTCCTAGCTAATTGAGTGAAGCTAGTGACAGACTTCCTAATAGTACAATTTAAGCCATCTTTTGTTGAGCCTGCTTTTTCCTGAGGCGAGTCCCTTCTCCTTTTGTGAGGCCAGGGCTCAGCCATTTTTTCCTTCCAAAAGAGATGGTAATCTTTCAGGAAGGCTCCTTATAGGATTTTGAGGAGTAGATTTTTTCCTTTTAGTGTATTCATTGATTCTTTCATTTAACAGATATTTACTGAGTACTTTCTACACACTAGCCACAGTGAGTGATGCTTGTTATTAAGATACCAACTGACCTCCAGGAATTTATAGCATGATATGATTGATATATGCATCCATGGAGTCCTGGTGTGGCACTGCAGGATGATGTACTGAACCAGAAGGTTGGTTTGAATTGCAAGGTCGGTGGTTCGAACTCACCAGCCACTCCTTGGAAATACTACACAAGCTTGCTATGACTCAGAACTGACTCAATGACACTTAGCAATAACAATAACAATGATGCCTAAGACATGTGACCTCCTTGGGGTTGTTCTTGTTAGTTGATATCAAGTCAGTTCCTACTTCTGGCCATTTTATATACAACAGAATGAAACTTGGGGTTAGGCACTGTCTTTTGTCTACTGCTATTTTAATAGGAGTGCAGTGGCTCTGTAGTTTAAGAACTGGACTGTGAACCACAAGTTTGGCTGTGTGAAGAAGACTGGAGAAAGATAAGGCTTTCTACTTCCTCAAAGATTTATAGTCACAGAAGCTGTATATAAGGTCATTATGAGTCGAAACCCACTTGAAGACACTTAGTAACAACAACAACATCTACATCTTAGTAGAATGGCCAGCATAATGCCTTGTACATGGATGACACTCTGTTACAGTTTACTGAGTGAATGATCGAACACGAATAACACCAGAGACTGTCGTACGTGGTAAAAAGTGAGATATGCCTAATAGAATGTTAGTAAGCACGCCTTTGTTGTTGTTAAGTGCCATTGAGTCAGTTCCAAATCATAGTGACTCTATAGGGTTTTTGAGGAGGGGCTGATGGGTTTGAACCACTGACCTTGTAGTTAACAGTCCAGTGCATATCCTACTCTGTTGTTTAGTGCTGTTGAGTTGGTTCTGACACATAGCAAACCTATATAGGATTTCTGAGGAGTGACTGGTGGGTTTGAACTACCAACCTTTGGTTAGCAGTCCAGCTCTTATCCTACAGTGCCATACAAGGACTCAAATCTATTCTTGTTGTGAAGTTCCAAGGAGTCGGTTCCGACTCATATCAACCCTGTATAGGGTTTCTGAGGAGCAGCAGAATGAAAAATACTCCAGGGGAGAGGTGAACTAAGGGGAAGTCTCTGGGAGGCACAAATGTTAAGTTTTGACTACTAGCAGAAAGTCTGATGGTTTGTGCCCACCCAGGGTGCCATCTAAAGATTTACAGCCTCAGAAACCCTGTACAGGGTCGCTATGAGTCAGAACCGACTCGACAGCACACAACAACAACAAGTGTGCCATCGGCTTCTGAAAATCTAGCAGCTGTCTGCTTCATATGTTTTAAAAACCTTACGGAGCAGTTCTGTGCTTTGAAGACCCAATGGGGACACTTGTTGTTGTTGTTGGTAAGTGTTGGCCATCATTAGTCTGAATAACTTGGCAGCAACTAACTGAACAGGACAATGAGGAAACTAAAATTGAAAAAAGAACAAACCAATAAACAAACAAAGCCCAACAATAGATGTATCAACTATGCCTTGCTGTTGTTAAGTGCCATCGAGTCTGTTTCAACTCATAACAACTCTGTGTAAGGTTGTTGCCAATCTTGTGGTTCTAACCGATTTGACAGTCCAGTGCATTACCCTACAGAGCCACACAAGACAATTTAAGTCTTATGACATTGGCTATTTTAGTCCAAACCCAGACTTCCTAGATAATATTCAAGGGCCTTCTCTGTTCCTGGCTCCCAATGATACACTTGTTTGTTTTTTTTTCCCTCAGGAGACTTTAAATCACAGCTCTTTGTTATTCAACTTATTCAAAAAGCTTTGGAAGCTAGGGTTGGAGAATCCAGGAAGTAACTAAATGTTCCTTTCAGCCCATTCCCATTTCAGTTTGGCTGAGATATTCTTGGAAGTCAGAAAGAAGGTGCCCTGTGGGTGGCATCCCTGAGCACTGGCAGAAAATCCTGCTATGAAAATTTGGGGCAGAAGAACTGAAAGGTCATCCTTAAAATACACTTTACTACTTCATTTATTGGACTCCTGGTGAGGCGCTGTAGGGTCAATACTGGACAGCGAACCACAATCTCAGCAGTTCAAACCCACCATCTGCTCATTGGAAACTCTATACAGGGTCGCTATGAGTTGGAACTGACCCAATGACACTAAACAAAACTTCACTTATTACTATTATTTTTTCCTTTTAAACGTACATTTTTACATGTATATCAGGGACATCAAGAATTATTTTGTTTTTCCTTTAGGTCACTTTTCTTAGTCTTTCACTGACAAATTTTCTTATATGTTATTGGCGTGAGCCATGTGTCGGTTCCCACTCATTGTGGTCCTGTATAGGGTATCCAAGTGCCTCTGGTGAATCAGAACTGCACTCACTCATCTATGCCAAGAAATTTGGAAGACAACTATCTGGCCAACTGATTGGAAGAGTTCCGTATTTGTGCCCATTCCGAAGAGAGGTGATCCAACAGAATGTGGAAATCATTGGGCAATATCTTTGATATCCCATGCGAGTAAAGTTTTACTAAAGGGAATACAGAAATGACTGCAAGCATACATTGACAGAGAACTTCCAGATGGTCAAACTAGATTCAGAAGAGGATGTGAAATGAGGAATATCATTGCTGTTGTTTGATGGATCTTGGCTGAAAGCAGAGAATAGCAGAAAGATGTTTACCTATGCTTTATTGACTACTCAGAGGCTTTCGATTGTGTGGGTCATGACAAGCTATGGACAACATTGTGAAGTATGAGTGTTATGGAACTCATAATTGTGCTCATGAGGAATCCGTACATGGACCAAGAGGCAGTTGTTTGAACAGAACATGGGAACACTGAATGGTTTAAAATTAAAAAAGGTATGCGACAATGTTGTATTCTTTCACCATACTTATTCAACCTGTATGCTGAGCAAATAATCAGAGAAGCTGGGTTCTGTCAAGAAAAATGTGGCATCAGGACTGGAGGAAGACTCATTAACAACCACCGATATGCAGATGATACAACTTTGCTTGCTAAAGTGATGAGGACTTAAAATACTTACTGATGAAGACCAAAGACCACAGCCTTCAATTTGCATTGCATCTCAATGCAAAGAAAACAAAAACCCTCACCACTGGGCCAGTAAACAACCTTCTTATCAATGGAGAAAAGAATGAAGTTGTCAAGGACTTCATTCTTCTTGGATCAACCATCAACACTCATAGAAGTAGCAGTAAAGAAATTAAACGAGTATTACATTAGGCAAATCTGCTGCACAAGATCTTTTTAAAGTGTTGAAGAGCAAAGATGTCAGCTTGAGGACTAAGGAGAGCCTGACCCAAGCCATGGTATTTTCAATAACCTCATATACATGCGAAAGCTGGACAGTGAATAAGGAAGAGTGTGGAAGAATTAACGCAATTGAGTTATGGTGTTGGAGGAAAATATTGAGAGTGCCACAGGCTGCCAAGAGAACCAACAGATCTATGTTGGAAGAAGTGCAGCCAGAGTGCTCCTTGGAGGCCAGGATGCCCAAACTTTGTCTCTCATACATTGGACATATTGTCAGGAAGGACCAGTCGCTGGAGAAGGATATCATGTTTAGTAATGTGGAGGGTCAGAGAAAAAGAGGAAGACCCCTGTGAGATGGATTGGCCAAGTGGCAGCATCAATGGGCTCAAGCGTGGCAAAAATTGTGAGGTTGGCCCAGGACTGGGCAGTTGTTTTGTTCTGTTGTGCATAGGGTACCGACTCGATGGCACCTAACAACAACCATACCTTGTGTTTAGCAGTGATTTATATAGTCATTTAAAAAAAATGTTTGTTTTTTTTTTTAGCTCACAGTCCCCTTTTTACTTTCAAATGGAACATTTAATTTCAATATAGTATGTGAACTGTATTTTAATGATTAAATAATGAATTCTAATTGTCCCTGGTGAGAATGGGCAGAATTTTCAATCCTGTAATAGGAATCTGACCTCTGGAGGCCACAGTAAGTCATTGCAACTTGTTCTGATGATGGGAGCAGAAACTGCTTACCAAATTGCAAATGTTGTCTAGTAGCAAGTTTGAAAGGAGCCCTGGTGGTGCAGTTATTTAAGCATTACACTGCTAATCACAAGGTCAGCTGTTTGAACCCACCAGTCCACTCTGCGGGATAAATATGAGGCAGTCTGCTCCTACAAAGATTTACAGTGTTGGATACTGTGTCTGGTAGGGTCGCTATCCGTCAGAATCAACTTGATGATTGTAACAGTGACAGTAATAGCAAATTTGAATGCTAATAGAAAGATGTACAGGGACTGCCGAGTCTTTTGAGTACATTTCTCCTTTGCTTTAAAAGTTTCCTATGAAAATAATGTGGTAGGGTTTAGCTGGCAACGAGGAAAAGAAAAATTGAACAAACGGTGAAGGTGGAAAGGAGTGATGAGACACTCTTCCTCCCTACCTTTTCTCATTTCTCCTTTCTTCCTCTCCCTGCCCCAGCCACACACACACTCCTGATTTCTACTTCCATTTTTTCTTGAGGCTCCTCATTGCAAAATAGATGAAAAAATTTAGACTTTATTTTTTTCTCTTTCAGCAAGAAATTATGTCCTACATCTGTTCTCAACAAGATAATCTGTCAAGCAAAATAGCAGAATGCTGCAAATTGCCTGCACTTGAACTTGGTCACTGCATAATTCGAGCAGAAAATGATGACAAACCTGAAGGCTTATCTCCAAATCTAGGCAGATTTTTAGGAGATAGAGATTTCAACCAATTTTCTCCACTGGAAAAAGATCTCTTTCTGGCAAGGTAAAATACTATGCAAATGTATGTTCACGAAAGTGTCCAGTATTCTGTGACTGAGTGCTTTGTGTTATTGATTGGGGGAGTTACTGAAATGTTTGTGGTTTTGGAGCTCAGTACAAGAGGATGATGTTAGGATGTTCTGAGGCAAAGTATATTTAAGCAGATAATCAAAGGAATAAGAAGTGCAATCCAGTTTGTCACGGTGACACTTTCCCCTTTGCTATAATTAATTGGCTTGCTTATGAAGCTGCTATTTTATTTTATATCCGTTCCTCTGGAATCAGAAACATTGTTATGCCTGTGTGAGTTATTCATATGAAGGCAACCACTGTACTTCCAAATGGTGGTGGTGGTGGTGTTTGTGTACTGTGGCGTCGGTTCCCATTCTAGTGACCTTGTGTAGAGTTTCCAAAAGCTCTAAATCTTAACAGAAGCTGAAAGCCTCATTTTTCTCCCATGGAGCAACAGGTGGAGTTGAGCTGCTGACCTTGCAGTTAGCAACCCAACGTGTAACCCACTACCCCACCAAGGCTCCTTGTAATTCTGAGTAGGATGTGAATATTTTTGTAAAAAAATAAGAGTATTCAGAAATGATTTCCATTCCAAAAATCAAACTCAAAAGGAGGATTTTTACTGTAATTGTTGTTGTTGTTAAGTGCTGTTGAGTCGGTTCGGACCCATAGCGACCCTGAACAGGGTTTCCGAGGCTATAAATCTTTACAGGAGCAGAAAGCCTCATCTTTCTCTCACGGAGCAGCTGGTAGTTTCGAACTACTGACCTTGCAGTTCTCAGCCTGATTTGTAACCACTATGCTACCAGAGCTTATTTAATTTATAACCGTATGTATCCTTCATTTTTGTAAGACAATCAAATCATGATTAGAGACATTTTCAGTATAGTAGTTTGTTGCCATATAACTAATAAGCCATGTTCTCATTTTATTTGTCTTTAAGGGAAGCATTTATTCAAATTAATACATTTTCCTTTCCTGTACAGTGTGTATCCATGGGTACTATTATAAAAAGGCTTTGTGTAGCTTTTCGGATAGTATACAAATGATCACCAAGGATCTTTTGAATTTGTGTCTACAGTTCTAATGTAGTGATGACAATAATGGCTTTCTTTACAATATTCCCTTAGGATACTTCTCTACTATTGCTTTAGAACTAGCCATTCACACATTGTTTACACTGCTAAATAAAATTATGCAAACAATGAAAAAGTCTAGATTTTAAAAACACACATCGACAACTTCGTTATTAGTGGTAGAATGGAAACTACTAACTAATTTCTAAAACCTGGGGATATAATCAGTAAATTCAATCATTATCTTTACGTTTGCACAGCTATACACATCTAAAGTCAGTGTTTGTTTGTTTAATAGTAACTGTACTTCAATTGGAAAGGTTTTTTGCAGTAGCAATTTTCTCAGCTGAGAATGATCTTCCCCCAGACACTTGTATAATTTTCTTCACTTAGGTCTCTCTTCTGATGTCAGCTGCCCAAAGAGGCTTTTCTCAAGTCATGCTCTGAATTAGTGACTCCTCCAACCTTGCGTATCACTCACCTTCTATCTTATTTATTCACTTCATTAGTTTATTACTACTTGCAATTAGATGATCAATTTCTTGTTTATTTGTATCTGTCTTCTTATGTAGAGAAAGATGTGGCAGTACCCCTATAAAGATTGACAGTCTTGGAAATCCTATGGGGCAGTTCTATCCTGAACTATAGAGTCTCTATGAGTTGGAACAGACTCAATGGCAATGGATTTGGCTCATGTGGGTCTCTCTATAATGCATGCTCCCCCCACCCCACATATTGTAAAAATATAAAGATCACAACATTTGCCAATTCAATATTTTTGTATGTATATTTCAATAAAATCGGTTATATCAATTATGCTATGCAACCACATAACCAGTATCTGTTGTATAATTTCAATATATGCTTTTGAGAATAAGATGTTATTGTACACATCAGTGAATCTTTAGTGCTTAAAGTAATGTTAACTTGAGTAGACACTGAAAAAATATATGTTGAATGAATGTATATAAAGTCCACAATTGAAAAGCCAAAGTTGGAAGTACCGAGGAGAACAAAATACCATTTAATAGGACAATTTGAGAAATTATTGTTTTTGTTAATAATTTAGTCACCATTATAGTTCAAATCATATTTGATTTCCAGGTTTATTTATTTGAACATCAGTTCCTATATGCTATATTATATAGGAGTAATTAGGGAAGTCATTTTTTGTAATTCATTTTGTCTCTTAGTTTTAATAATGTATCACATTTCCCCCCACATATTTTAGTTTTACTCATGAATATTCAAGACGTCATCCTAAACTTGCTGTTCCAGTAATCCTAAGGGTAGCTAAAGGATACCAGGAATTATTGGAGAAGTGCTCCCAGTCTGAAAACCATCTTGAATGCCAGGATAAAGGGGTAAGTTAGTAAGAATAAGAAACATTGGATTGAAATACTGTGCTTTTTTCAAAGTGTTTAGTAATTAGCTAGTAGTTAACTAGTTATACCTATTAAATAATTATCTAATAATTGTTATTATTGTTGTTGTTAGGTACCGTTGAGCCAGCTCTAACTCATAGCAACTCTATGTACAACAGAATGAAACGCTGCCCAGCCCTGGGCCATCTTCACAATTATTGCTATGTTAGGGTTCATTGTTATAGTCATGGTATCAGTTGGTCTTGTTGAGGGTCTTCCTGGTTTTTATTTTTGCTGACCCTTTACTTTTACATGCCTCATGTCTTTCACCACAGACTGGTTCCTCTTGATAACATGTCCCTCCTGATAATAAATTGCTAATGCTAAGTGCCTTCAAGTTAGTTCTGACTCATAGCAACCCTAAATAGCGTTTCCAAGGAGTGGCTGTTGGGTTTGAACAACCAACCTTGCGGTTAGCAATCCATTGCCAATCCTACTGTGCCATACCAGAACGCCTGATAATAGTTAGTGCTTACAAGTAAATAGGTTAACCAAGAGTTCTTTGCAAATACATGAAAAATGTAATTTTATCAATGTTTCAACATTTCCAGAAAGGCAGGTTTATTGGTTTTTGTTTTTAAACTTTAAAAGGGCAGGGTTTTTGTACAGGAAGAACTGTAAACCTTGACCCAAAGACTGAGTTCTGCCATCAAATAATTTGTGATTCACAAAATTTTAAACTCAATCTCCAGAAAGCCTATTTAATTATCAAAATTCATGCCTTACTATCCCTAATATAAAAAAATCACTAAGATTGGTTTCATGATAGAATAAAATAAAATTCATGATAGAATAGAATAAAATAAAACTATCACTGACATACAAAATAATATATTCAATCAGAGAAAAAAAGGTATATAATAATGCTTGTATTTCCAGGAAGAAGAATTAGAGAAATACATCCAGGAAAGCCAGACATTGGCAAAGCGAAGCTGTGACCTCTTCCAGAATTTAGGAGAATATTACTTACAAAATGAGTATGTTTTTTGTAAACACTAATTTTACTGATTTAAAATAATGGTGGTGGTTGTTGTGTGCCACAGAGTTAGTTTCAACTCATAGCAACCCTGTATAGGGTTTCTGAGGCTGTAAATCTTGATGAGAACAGAAAGCCTCAGCGTTCTCCTGTGGAATGACTAGTAGAATCGAACTAATGACCTTGTGGTTAGCAGCCCAGCTCATAATCCACTACTTTACCAAGGCTCCTTAAAATTATTGATAAAATCAAATGAATGGCCCAAGACCATTCTGAATTGCTGCTCCTACTTCTGAGTGAAAGTCGGTGTGAACTGTGTTGCCCATTCCCTTGGGTGAGGGTAGCTTTCCCTGCCTCTCTGATTTAGGGAGCAACTTGATTGGTCTGTGACTGTGGCACACATTTTTGGAGAAAAGATATCCATTTTTTTAATAGTGAAAACCCTGAAAGATCAAAATTAAAACCAATAAAACTTTTTAAGTTGGGATCAGGAGTCCTCTACTCTGTTTCATTTAGAGTAAATTCCTATCAAAAGGTGACCCCACATACTATGAAGATGAATCGCATGTATTGTGATACCGGAAGCAGCTAACATGTTGTTGTTGTTGTTAAATGCCATTGAGTCAGTTCTGATTCATAATGACCCTGTGTAGGGCTTCCCAGGAGTAGCTGGTGAGTCTGAACTGTTGACCTTGTGGTCCAGTGCTTTATCCCACAGGGTCACACCAGGGTCCTTTGGAAGGAGCAGGGAGTCCAAACCTCATGAGGACTTATGGAAACTGCTACTTTCAGGTTTCTCGTTGCCTATACGAAGAAAGCCCCTCAGCTGACCACACCGGAGCTGTTAGCCCTCACCAAGAAAATGGCTGCCACAGGAACTGCTTGCTGCCATCTAAGTGAGGAAAAGCAATTGGCCTGTGGTGAGGGCGCAGTAAGTACCTGTCTTTTTAGTCCCATCTCATTTCGGCCCTGTTTTACCACAATAGTTTCATCATTCGCCTATAGGGGAAATGATAAAAACCAATGTGGAGAAGGCTTTACTGGGCTTTCTTCATGTACTAGACTTAAAGGTGGCATGAGGACTCAGCTCTGTATGGTTGGCATGTGGGGAGGCTTTCTGTTCCTTTAGAATGGCTGCTAAAAACACAGTCAGTTTACTCAACAGTATCTGAGCAAACTATGTGCAAGACAAATGGGATGACCTAAAAGTTATCCAACTCATGATATCCTCTTTTTTGTTCACTAATTACTTTAATGTCTAAAAAAAGCTTTTCCCTTGAAAGATTAAAAATAGTCATCTTAATTGTAGCCATTAAAAAATTTTTTTTTGGCCTTTTGTGGCTTAATTGTAGTATAATTTTGTTCTTATTATGTATTTTATTAAAATATTTGTATTATTTTATATATTATATTGCTATATTTATTATATATTTGTACTATTATGGACAATTTGATCTTTTTATCAGTCTTGAGTTATTCCTATGTTCTAAATAATAAAATGACTTTCCAGTTAGCTAGGCCAATATTCTTTACTTGCTTTTCCTATTTCTGATCACAGAGACTTCTTTCCTAGTTAGTTTTCATGTCTTGGAAATTTTCACTAAAGGTCAGGAGTGAAAAGAGAGTTTCCTGTAATTAAACATTACCTTTCTCATTTGCTGATTTCCATACTTTGGGAGGATTTGGGGAAGGAAGTTGCAATGATTTATGAGAGTAGGTGCTAGAGACCCTCTGAATATGTTTTCATTCTTCTTTATTACCTTTTAGTTATGCCACATTTGTCTCACTAAGCTTGAGCTTTTTCTTCTGAAATTTAACACTCATGAGATGACTGTCTTAAAGGAGGCAATCCACATAAACCAATCCACAGCACTAGTAAGCCACATACTGTGCACCCCAAACATATTAACTCTTATTACAAATTATTAACAAACCGGGTGTCATTAAGTAGATTCCAACGCATGACAACCCCATGTCTGTCAGAGTAGGACTGTGTTTCACTTATTATTTATAAGTAGATCACCAGGCCTTTCTTCTGAGGTATCTCTGAGTGCACTCAATCCTCAAATATTTCTTTAGCAGTGAGCATGTTAACCCTTTACACCACTCGTGGAGTCCAAACTATTACCTTGTGCTAAAGCAATTTCTCTGAGATGTGGATGGTATGAGGATACCACAGTAGGAGTCTTTGACACTTAAAGACACATATTGGCATTGGTTGTATTTCTTTTTAATTTATATTATACAATTAGGATTATTTATAGTTTTACATGGACAGGTAAGCCATGTATTGATTTTCTTAGTTCATAGCAGAATCTTTTTTATTTTTTAAAAATTCCTTTGGAGGTATGTAGAGAACTGAAAGCATGGATCTAATGAAACACAAATGGCTGTGTTTAATAATAAAAATTAAAAAAAAGAAGGTGAACATTATCTTATACAAAGACAGCAAATTTTCTTGTGATATTACTTAAGGATTGCTGTTGTTGCTAACTGCTGTCGAGTCAATTGTGATCCATAGCAGCCATGTATAGGGTTTTTGAGGAGCAGCTGTTAAGTTTGAATCACTGACCTTGCAGTTCAAACTGAGCTTATGATTAAGTGCTTATACTATGGCACCACACCAGGACTGGACATTAAAATTTATTGCAGTAGTTTTCTGAAAATCTGAACCAACTTGTGGCTAACATCCCATTTTCTTTATTCTCTTTCTGCTACCTAGGCTGACCTTATTATTGGACAATTATGTATCAGGCACGAAGCGACTCCCATAAACCCTGGTGTTGGCCAATGCTGTTCTTCTTCATATGCCAACAGAAGGCCATGCTTTAGCAACTTGCTTATTGATGAAACATATGTCCCTCCAGAATTCTCTGCTGCCAAGTTCCACTTCCAGAAGGATCTGTGCCAAGCTCCGGGTGTAGCATTGCAAACGATGAAGCAAGAGTAAGACATGATTATTTGTTAGCATGGAAAGTACAAGACCAAATAGCAGTTGAGACTTCTGTCTTTGCACACTTCACTTTTGTAGGCTCACTACTATAACATTACTACCCCAAAGCACACCTCATTTTATTGTGCTTTGCTTTATTGTGCTTTACAGATACTGCATTTTTGACAAATTGAAGGTTTGTAGCAACCCTGCGTTGAGCAAGTCTGTTGGCACCATTTTTCCCTCAGAATGGGCTCACTACATGGCTCTGTGTCCCATTTTGGCAATTCTCATAGTATTTAAAGCTTTTCAAAATGTTATTGCATACTTGGTAAACTGCAGTATAGTATAAACTATAACTTATATGGTGGTAGTTATGTGCCGTGGAGTCGGTTCCAACTCATAGCAACCGTGCACAGGTTTTCTTCGGCTATAAATCTTTATGGGAGCAGAAAGCCTCATCCTTCTCCTGCAGAGCAGCTGGTAGTTTCGAACTGCTGACCTTGTGGTTCGCAGCTCGATTCGTAACCATTACACTACCAGAGCTCTTGTATATAACTTGTATATGCAGTGGGAAAGAAAAAAATTCATATAACTCGCTTTACTATGATATTTGATATTCACTGAATGGCAGTGGTTCAGAGCTGAACTCAGATTTTCCAAGGTATGCCTGTAGTTTGTCTCAGTATCCTTGAAGCCTCAATAGGAAGTAGATCTGGAAAAATTCACTAGGACAGATAATTTTTTGTTTACAAATTAATTTCAGTTATTATTATTACATGATGCATTATAGCATTGGGGAAAACTGGGTCATCTATTTGGGAAATAGTATATATCTTTGCCTCAAATCTGAGAACTTTCATTCTAAGCACTGGAAAGACACCATTGAATTTTATTTTGCACTATATACTTTTTGAAGAGAACTATACAATTTGATTCAACCATGTTGCTGCCAAGAATATGTATATTGAACTCACTGTGGGAGACATTCAGTAATGCAAGTCAATGGAACTCACATTGTATAAACTTCCACGCATGCTGATGTTTATGTGCTTTGCATGGTCTTCTCCCATTTTGGAAAATCTGCTCTTCCTTTTTGTGTCTATCAAAATCCGAGGCATGTTTCAAGAGACAGTAAGAATGCCACCTCTTCTGCAAGCCTCTCCTGCTCCTGTGGTTGGCAGTAGTCTCAACATGGGAGCACTGTTAAATGAGTAGTGCATGCAGTTAGTGCTGCCGGCATTCAGATCAGGATGGGATAGTTGTGGAAATCCAGAGTTTAGAAAATGAGACACATCCGAGTCTTTAAGCATGGATAAAGCATTTTTGGTTTTCCTGTTATTGTTAGATGTTGTTGAGTGGTTACAATTCATAATAATCCTGTGTAGGGTTTCGAGGCTGTAAATATTTACAGAAGTAGAGTCTCATCTTTCTCCATCAAGGCTTTCTGTAAGAGACAATAGGAAAAGATATTCTAGGCAAGTGAGAAAAAGATTATATACATACATATAAATGTGTGTATATATACATTTATAATGTGCACAAGTCCAGACCAGTGAAGCACTGGGCATATTCCTAGCCTAAAAGGAAGACCATACAAGAATTGATGCTTTTGAGTTATGGTGTTGGAGGAGAATGTTGAAAGTGTCATGGACTGCCAAAAGAATCAATAGATCCATTTTGGAAGAAGTGCAGCCGGAGTGCACCTTGGAGGCCAAGATGGCTAAACTTCGTTTCTCATACTTTGGACCTATTGTTAGGAGGGACCAGTCACTGGAGAAGGATATCATGTTTGGTAAGGTGGAGGGTCAGAGAAAAAGAGGAAGAACCCCAGTGAGATGGATTGGCCAAGTGGTAGCATCAATGGACTCAAACGTGACAACAGTAGTGGGGTTGGCTCAGGATCTGGCAGTGTTTTGTTCTGCTGTACATAGTGTTGCTATGAGTTGGAACCGACTCGATGGCACCTAACAACAACAACAAGTCCTATCTGATAAACATATTAGTGAAGCTGTGTGCAGTCAGTGAGTGATGTGGTGGTGGGCTGCCACGAATCTGAAAGCTATTGACAAAGACATGCTTTAGAAAAATGCCATTGTACAATTGACTTCTCTTATATTTTTCTGTGTTTTAAATCACAGGTTTCTCATTAACCTTGTGAAACAAAAGCCACAAATAAGAGAGGAACAACTTGAGATAGTCATAACAGACTTCTGCGGCCTTTTGGAGAAGTGTTGCCAAGCCCAGGAGCAGGAAGACTGTTTTGCAAAAGAGGTAAATGAACTCATTCTCACACTCAAAATACTTGCTACAGAATTTACTGTAGTGAGTAATGGCAAGAAAATGCAATAAACCTACAACTTTAAAACAATACCAGACAGATTTAAATGTCTTTTAGAAACAAAATGGTGTGATTTCGGAAGATTTAAAAACTACTGAGTACTAGAAAGATTTGTAATCTAAAAATTTCTTTTCAAACTTTTTTTTTTTTTTTTTTTTTAACCCTTTCTCCTAATGACTTGTGATTTGTGGAGGAAGGGAAAAAGTACAGTGAGGATTGATAAGAATTTGGAAATTGGTAAAGACCAAACTAAACCCTTTGTCATCGAGTTGAACTTGATCATAGTGACAGAGTAGAACTACTTGTTAGGGTTTCCAAGACTTTAAATCTTTACAGTAGCAGATAGCCTCATCTTTCTTCCTCAGAGTGGCTGGTGAGTTTGAACCATCAACCTTGTAGTTAGCAGGCCAGTGTTTAAATCAGTATGCTGCCAGAGATCCTAGAAATTGGTATAAGAAGCCCACAAATCTGCTGTTGTTATGAATGTACTTTTTCTTTCTAGTTTCCACTGTTCCAGATTGCTGGCATCAGAGATATATTATCTTTTTTTTTTAAATAGATGATATTTTATTATTTTTTTAGTGAAAATTTGCACAACAAAATAGGTTCACATTGTGCAATATCTATACGTATTGCTCAGTTACATTTCCCACAATTTATCAGATTCATTATTTCCCTTCTACTTGTTCTGTCTCTATTAATCTAAGTTCTGACCCCTTCCTTCTCATCATTGCTTTAAGTTAAATATTGAGTGTTTAGTCTCAAATAGATGATTATTCAAATTATATCATTATTTTTACTTGTTTTATTCATAAGCATGTGTAACCACACCTTGGCTGACTGAGAATTCTTATTTGTTGTTAATTTTTAGGGTCCAAAATTGATATCCAAAACTCGTGCTGCTTTGGGAGCTTAAATTATTTTCAGGTAATGAAAAATAAATTCACACAAGTCTAAAAAGAACATTGATTCTTCCCAATTATAAATCTATAGTAAGATACATCCGACAAGCTACTACGAAATGCTTTTCTTAAAAATAAATGCAATTCAGTAAAAAAATTTTACTTTATAAACACTAGAAGAAAATTATGCCCACATTGTTAAAGACTCAACTAACTCAAAATTCTTCTGAATTATGTCAAAGATTTCAGATAATGCCTTAAGATGTCTTTCCTATGTGTCTAATATTCCTCTCATACTAATAGAGTCAGTTACTAACTGTACCTGTTCATTAAATTGTTGTTGTTGTTAAGTGCCTTCGAGTCAGAGCCGACCCATAGCGACCCTGTACAGGGTTTCCGAGGGTGTAAATCCTTACGGGAGTAGAAAGCCTCATCTTTCTCCCGCGGAGCGGCTGGTAGTTTCGAACCACTGACCTTAAGGTTTGCAGCCCGATTCGTAACCACTACGTAGTAATTAATATATATTTGTTCGCATTACAGGGAGAAGAGAAGATGAAATGACTCATAATGGTTGTGACCTTTTCCAACTTTAATTGTAACAGACTTAGTAAATGATGAAGATTTCTTTGTGAGATTTTCCCATTATAGAAATAAAGTCTCACAAAGGTTTCCTTTTGTCTAGTCTGCTTATTCATTAAACATTACATACATAATTTATTTAAATGCTATGTACTGCATTGTCTGAAGCAGATTCTGCCCAAAAGGTATTGAGCATTTATTATCATGAGATTAAAGCTATCCAAGGATGTATTTGCAATACAAAGGGCTACATCAGTTGGTGAACTCTGAAACTTTCAAAAGTCAAGCACTGGTGTTGTCAGGGCACATTGTTTATTAAATACCCACTTCCTCCCTAAAATTTCTGTGCTGAAAATGCATGGCCAACTCAAACATAACATATTCCAAACTGAATTCCCAATCTACTCCCTGCCCCGAGCTGTGTCTCCCACTTTTTTGTCCATCCTTGTGGTTGCTAAAGACTGAATCCTTGGAGTCATCATTGATTCCTCTTTTCTATTGCACCCTTATAGCCAATCCACTATCAAAGCCTTCAACCTATATCCAGACTTTTGCTATTTCTCAAAGGAACCCTGGTATCATAGTGGTTTATGCATTGATTATGCAAAGTCAGCAGCTCAAATCTACCTGCTACTCCATGGGTGAAAGATGAGGCTTTCTGCACTTATAAAGATATATAGCCTCAGAGACCCTACACAGAGTCTCTATGAGCTGGAATCAACTCCCTGGCACACATACACTACCACTGCTATTTCTGAATACTTCTTGTATAAGCCATAATCATTCATTATCTGGATTACTGTAATGCCTTCTTAATTGTTTTCCTTACATCTACTTGATACCACTGCCCAACTCTAGTCTTAACACAGTAATCTAAATAATTCTTTTACATCTAAGTACATCATGCCACCTTTTCACTCAAAACACTTTAGTAGCATTCTACCCACTCAGTAAAAAGCAAACTGTACAGTGACTCCACATGATAATGCCTTTCTCACCTTACTGCTTTTCCACTGGAGCTCTCAGTTTAGGTACATTAACCTCCAGACTGTTCTTTAAGTTACCAATTAATTTCTGTTCAAAGTTTTGCTCTTTGACAGCTATCCCCTCAGCTACGTGTTAGGCTCACTCCACTACTCTTTGGGACTGTACTCAGAATCATGTGTTGGATGATGCTTTTCTTGACTGCTCAATTTTAAGTTGTATCCACATTTATATCTTAGTCTTCCTTTTCTTCACATGTTAAAATGGGAAAACCTTTCTTAGCTCTCGTGACAGAAAAAAAACGAACCAGTAGTGTAATATGGCCCACAGGCTGTAGTTTACTGACAATGACATATGAACTTATGTGTCAGTTTGCCACACTGGAAGTTATGCTACCACTATTTTACAAACCAGCAGGGTCACCCATGGTGGGAAAGGTTCAGCTGAGTGTACAGACTAAAACAGAGTAGGAAGAAAGAGAGGCAGACCACTTCTAAATGTTTAACTGCAGAAAACATTATGAATGAATAGCAGTGGAACATTCTATAATGTTGGAAGATGAAAACAGTATGAACAGCACTATAATATTGCCAGCTAGAGTGCCAGGAGATGAGCCCCTCATGTTGGAAATCACTCAAACATTATTGAAGAAGAGCTGCCTCTACAAAATAGATTTCCTCATGATAATGCAAAAGGAGTAAAGCTTTCAGGACCTTCATTTGCTGAGGGGCATATCTCAAAATTAGGAGAAATAGCTGTAAACATTCATTAATAATCAGAACTTGGAATGTACAAAATGTGAATCTGGGAAAATTGAAAGTGGTCAAAAATGGAATGTAATGCAAAAATGAAATGGAATGCACAGAGATTGGTATCTTAGGCATTGTTGTGATTGTTGTTGTTAAGTGCAGTGGAGTCTGATGTATAGTGACCTGTATAAGGTTTCTGTGAGGTGGCTGCTAAGTTTGAACCACCAACTTTATGGTTTAAGCTGACCTTGTGATCCAGTGCTTATCCTCAGCACCATACCTGCCCTCCTATCCTAGGTATAAGTGATCTGAAATGGACTGGTATTAACTATTTTGAATCTGAAAATCATATGGTTTACTATGCCAGAAATGCCAAATTCAAGAGAAATGGCATTGTATTTATCATCAAAAAGAATACTTCAATTTTTATTTTATAGTACAATGCTGTCTGTGATAGGCTAATATACATAAACATATAAAGAAAATGAGTTAATACTACTATTTTCAAACTTACACACCAACTACTAAAGCCAATGATGATGAAATTGAAAAATTCTAATTTTTCAGTCTGAAATTGATCAAACATTCAATCAAGATGTATTGATAATTACTGATGAATGTAATGCTAAGGTTGGAAACAAAGAGTAAGGATATAAGTAGTTGGAAAATATGATTTTCATGATTGAAATAATGTTGGATATCACAGGGAGAATTTTGCCAGGCCCATTCATTGCAAAGAACTTTTTAAATAAGATAAAAGAAGACTATACACATGGACCTTACCAGATGGAATACACAGATATCAGATTAACTTCCACTGTGGGAAGACATAGTGGAATAATAGTTCAACATCATTAGTTAAAACAAGGATAGGGGTGACTGTGGAACAGACCATCAATTGTTAATATGCAAGTTCAGCCTGAAGCTGAACAAAATTGAAGCAGTTCCATGAGAGCCAAAGCATGTTCTTGAAAATACTCCACTTGAATTTAAAGACCATCTCAAGAACAGATTTGATGCTTTAGACACTCATGACTGAAGACCAGAATTGCTGTGGGATGACATCAAGAACATAATACAGGAAGAAAGCAAAATGTTATTAAGCAGATAAGAAGAAAAGACCAAAAAGAATGTCAGAAGAGATTTGGAAACTTGCTCTCCAATGTGTTGTTGTTGTTGTTAAGTGCCTGCCATAGAGTGTGTTTTACATTGCAATCTTATGCACAACAGTTTAGGGCCAACCTTACAATCATTATTATGGTGGAGCCCATTGCTGTTGCTACTGTGAGAATCCTCTCACGTGGGGGTCTTCCTCTTTATCTCCAACCTTTCACTTTACTAAGCATGATGTCCTTCTCCAGGGACTGATGCCTCTTGATAACATATATGAAGTATGAGATGAAGTCTGGCCATTGGAAAGTTATTCTGGCAGTAATTTTTCCAACACAAATTTGTATGATGTTCTTGATATCACCCACAACACGTCTGGCTTTTGGTCTTTAGTGTCTAAGCATCAAATCTCTTCTTTAGATAATCTCTAAATTCTGGTGGAATATGTTCAAGGTTATATTTAGACTCTTGTGGACTTGTTTTAATTTTCTTCAGCTTCAGCCTGAACATGCATATGAGCAATTGATGGTCTATTCCACAGTCTGCCCCTGACTTTGTTTTGGCTTTTCCACTGTCCCTTTCCACAGATGTAGTCAACTTGATATCTGGGTATTCTATCTGGTAGTCCAAATATATAACTTTTATGTTTTTGAAAAATGTTATTTGTAATAAAGAAGTCATTATCTTTCAAAATCCTATAATGTGATTTCCAGTATCACTTCTATCATATGAACATCTCCAGTATCATATTTTCCAATAACTGATCCTTTCTTTTTGTTTTCAATCTTTGCATTTCAATTACCAGTAATTATCAGTACATCTTGATTGCAATGTTTGATCAATTTCAGACTAAAGAAGTTGGTAGAAGTCTTCAATTTCATCATAACTGGCTTTAGTAGTTAGTGTGTAAATTTGAATAATAGTAGTATTAACTGGTCTGCCTTGTGTTGTTAAGTGCCATTGAGTCAATACAACTCACAGAGGTGATATGCACAACAGAACAAAACACTGACCAGTCCTGCACCAAACTCACAGTTGTTGCTATGCCTAAGCCCATTGCTGCTACCACTGTGACAATCCATCTTTCTGAGGGTCTCCTCTTTTACTTTGAACACCGACTTCACCAAATATGA